AGCGGGCGACTAACCTCCACCGGAGTAAACAGATTGAGGCCCTAACGAACAAAACCTCCACTACCGAAGTAAATTCGGTACAAAATAATGAGTTGGCTCCTCCACTAAAGTCACCAACTCCCTACCTTCAATCAAGGATGCTCTATCAACCTAGGCAGATATTCTCATTCTAGGTTAAAGCATAAGTAACAGGAATTTGATCAGGATTCAAGTCATTCAATCATTCAAACCTCAATTGAACATAATCAAATCATAGAATCTGTACTTGGGTTCATACAATCAGACCTAACATACAAATCTAGGGTTTCCCATACCCAGATGAATGGGAGAACTACTCCATGGAGAAAGAAGCAAAAGCAGATTCAGACGCGGAAATCATAATGTGAAGGATGGATTTCTGCTCCTGGACGTTGATCGGCACTCCTCCAAGCTCAAGCCAAGCTCCGATGGTGATGAAGATCAAGCTAGGGCACGTGGGAACTCTTGTTCGTCGCTTTCTCTCTCTAGGAATCGCTCTGTCTCTCTAAAACTCCAATCCCCTTCTGTTTTGGCTGGAATCTACCTAAAAGGGCATCACTGGGCAAAACACTGTCAAGGGCACGGCCGTGTTCTGCTCCAGCCCGCCCGTGCCCTTGCCAAGTGTTAAATACACGGCCAGACTTTTGGGGAAAACATGGGCGTGCTTTTGGTGGACACGGCCGTGTTCTGTCTCAATCCTGCCCGTGTTTTGAGCTAGTGTTTGACAGACTCAGATCAAGTCTCGACAGTAAAAACACGGTCTAGGAACACGACCGTGCTTTGATTTAGGCGTGCCCGTGTTTTGGCTCCAGCTCGACCGAATGACTTCCGAATGCCCCGAAACTCGTGTTTAGCCTTTCCTTCGACGTTTGGGACCTGAAATATGACAGAGTAGCACAACCCGGCGTAAAATAGGCCAAAAATACACGACTATGCCCCTCAAACGGATAAGAACTAGGGGTGCAAATATGTGCAATTACATCGTTATCAAATTCCCCCACACTTAACCGTTTGCTTGTCCCCAAGCAAACCAAGTCAGACACAAGGTAAGCTCAAAACGTTTCAATCAAGCATGCTTTAGGGCATATCATATCGGCACAAAACACGTGGATCATACTGGCTTTCGATCATTTAACACATGGACAACCTCAATGACAACCTAGACAACCACCACAGATGACATTCGCATGCAGTAAAATCGAGCAAAGGAAGAGTCTCCCTTCTGTTCACCAACCAACATAGACTTGACACAACCACATATTCAAGACAGTTACTTCATGCATAAAGCTCAAGGTCCTCACCGGGATAAAGAGTATAGAGAATATGAGAAAAGGAATCGCTCACTCTCGACCAGTGGGGTCAGGATAATTTGATGCAAAAAATGCGCATGCTCAATCTCTCAATCCCTAACGTCTCTTCACCATGAATGCAGCCTCTAAGTGCTAGAGTTCACATATGGGGTGTCACCACTAACTAATCCAGAGGTCTTAGACACAGGTTCAGATGACTGGCTAGGGTCTTGGACATGGGGAAAAGGCCTTTTAGGTGGTGAAAGTATTCATAGGACAAGGTTCCACATTTCCAAACCCAACAAACTCACAGCCAATCAAACCAATAACTTTCTTTCTGCTATTCTGCATTACTCAAATTCTTCAGAGCACAGGAGCGAAGGAGGTCACATAAATGCTAGTATTTCTAAGCCAGACTGCTAAGAAACACTACTTAATGGGCATTATTTCATTTTTGGTGGTGGCTCTCTTTTGCTTCCATTTTTTCTTTGTTTTTCTTTCATTTTTTTTTCATTTCTTAAGAGAACCACCACCTCTGCACATTTTCAAACACCTGCCCAACTTTTTAGCACTACCTCCAACCCTCACATTACGTTTAGCAGAAACAGCAGAGAACATGTAAAAATCACTCTGTGGAACCTTCTAAAAGATGCAAAAGGGTGACTTTTCATTGAAGACCGAAAGAAAGGAAAACACACGGCTCAAAGGGGCTGACTAGGGGGTATGACACACCAGGACAGTCAATTTGGTCGTGGGCTAATCCTATGCCTCCATCATCTTAGCTAATGACAACGTGAATGCTGCACATAATGGAAGAGGGAACTATCGGACAAGAAAGAAACGAGCAGGCTCAAATCTCACATGGCTACCTATATGCTCTATCTCTCGTTCTGATTCCCTGAACTAGATGCATATATGACTGTCAAAAGCAAGTGATCAAACCAAGTCACATTTGGTGAGCAAACAGTTGAAAAACTGAACCCCTACACAGTTCTACTGCACATCTCAGTCATAATAATAAGTTGTCTAAGTCACACTCAAGTTGTCATGCATCAAGTCAAAAGCCATTCAATTCACTAATCACATCCACAGTGCCAATACGATCAAACATCAGGCAAACGGTAGTGCTTGGAGCCCTCAAATCTCGAGATTTGGACAGTGGACTAGGCTCCAAGCACGTATAGATACGTTCCAATTCATACAAAGACCCCCCCCCACACTTAAATGCGACAATGTCCTCAATGGAGCAGAGGGAAGGGGAACGATGTTACCGTGAAAGGAGAACAGGAACGGGGACTGGAAGGCAGACCAGTCCAGAGAAGGAGGCACAGAGCTAAAGACAACAAAAAACACACACTGGGTGAAAGAACCGGAGTTCCAAGTCAACAATCCAAGATAAAAAAAAAACAAAACAACAAAAACATGGAGTCTCAGTCTGGAACACAAATGAGGTACAGAATCAGCCTCTCGCCACTAGAAAGCATCACCACCATCGCCAGTGGGTGGAGGGTACTCATCCTCAAACCCTGGGGACTGCACGAACGGGTAGTGGACTGCATTCGGGTCCAAGCCCAGGTAAGACATGATGTAGTGCTGGCCTGACATGAGACGACGCCCTCGGTCCCGATCACGATCGAGGCGGGTGTGAATGCGCTCCTGGCCGGCCAGGATGCGCTCGTTCTGCTGAGCAGTGGCCGCCAACTGGTCAGAAATGGGCACCACCACTGGCGAAGGAGACCCGGGAGTCGGAGACCTGGGAGTAGGGGACCGGGGAGCAGCGGAGGGGCTCGCAGGAGCCTGGTCACGACGAACAGTGCGACGGGGAACCCGGCGTCCCCAAGCTGCGCTCGACTCTGGCTGGTCGCCCACTGCAGTTAGAGGGGGCTGAGGAAGGCCCGCGATCCAGTGCATACGCCCGTGGCGAGCAACCATGTGCTGGTGGCGGAGGGTGGCCTTGCTGAGCGGGGTTGGTCTGCGAACAAGGTCATCCCAGTGAAGTCGACCCCGTAGTAGCGGGCCAAGGCGGTGATCACCGGGCCACATACAAGGTTGCGACTCAGGCTGGCGGCGGCTTTGGTGAACGTCCGAGCGAGCACGGAGCCCAGCTGGATGGTGTCCTCAGAACGACCCATCGCATGCATGAACCAGAGTGTCCGGAGTGTGACCCGGTTGGACAAGCCTTTGCTGGGTGTGTAGGACTGGGTGAGCAAGTGGTTGAGGATCCGCCACTCCGGACGGAGGAGAGAGGCCCGCGTCTGGCTGGCAACGTACTGTTCATCCACATTGTTCGGCAGGCAGATTCGCTGGAAGTAAGCCTGGAAGCGAAGTCGGTGGGATCAGAGAGGTCCAAGCGTAGGGGCCAATCGCTGGAGTGCGGGGAGTTGAGCCTAAGTGCATTGGCGAACTCCCAGTAGCTGAGGGAGTGCTCCACCCCACCGAGTGTGAATTGAACCGCATCAGCATGGTCGGCGGACCCCTTCGAGGCATGGTTGAAGGAAGCGTAGAACTCCCAGAAGAGCTCCTAGTAGGTCGGCTCGACGAGGGTGAGAAGGTGCCTCCAACCATAGGGGCGAACCACGGCCTCCATCTGCGGCCTGGCATGAAGCGCATCGAACACCTCAAAATCGAGGTGCAGGTGCTCGGCGATGGTGCGGTTACGGAGGTTCCGCAGCAGATGGCGCTGGGTGATGCTCAGCTGGTCGAGGTAGGCTTCCATGATCCTGCAAAGCACAAGGAAGTACAAATGGTACACAAGCGAACAGGGTCAATGTTAGGCCAAAAACCACACCGGGAGCCCTCATATCGAAAGATATGGACAGTGGAATAGACTCCCGGCAAAACAAGCATACCCATCACACGAGAATTACACAACAAAACACACCGGGGACCCTCAAATCGAGCGATTCGGACAGTGGACTAGGCCCCCGGTGAAACAAGCATACCAAAACCGTACTAAATAAGCACCAATCGATCCACCACACAAAAACCACACAAGCCCGCATACAATGCAACATGCAAATGGTAGGCCGAATAACTGAAATCCCGAGACAAAAATAGAACAAGCAAAGAGCATCATCGGCCTACCCAATCATCCACAAATCATGCCACAATCACAAGTTCTTCACCTAACTCTAGGTATCGATTCTCCAGAAATAAAAGAAAAGACGAGGAGAACACACCTGGAGACGCAAAGAGAGACCACGAGAGAGGTGAAGAAAGTGGAAGAAAACACCCTAAGTCGCCGGAAAAACACACCGGAGACTCGCCGGAGAACTCGCCGCCGGCGACCCAACCTCGGCCAAGCAAGCCCAAATCTTTGGGGAATGTGCTCCTTGACGCCAGGAGAGTGGGGGCTTTCGCGGTTTGTGATTTGGAGGTCAATCCTTGTGGGATAGATTCACCGTCTTCTCCAGGATACGCTTGAGCTCCCAGTTCGTCAGCTCGGCCTGACCACTTGCTTGAGGGTGGTAGGCCACGGACACCTTATGAGTTACACCATAGCGAGACAACAACTTATCGAACTGGCCCTGGAAATGGGTGCCCCGGTCGCTTATGGTGGCTCTAGGTGTCCCGAACCGGGAGAATAGCTGCTTCAGAAAACCACAAACACATTTAGCATCATTAGAGGGCAAAGCTTGCGCCTCAGCCCACCTAGAGACGTAGTCAACAGCAACAAGGATAGTCCCTAGGCAATCAATCGTCGCGGGCGGTAGGACCCGTGTTCGCGAAACCCAGATACCAAGAAACCCAATAACTCTTCGACTCGAACAACTGAGGACCCAGATTGGAGCGTCTGGATGAGCTGGATATAACCGAGAAAAATCGCCGAGCGAAGCAAGGAGCTGGACCTGACGGGGAGATGAGAGAAGCAGAGCTCGAAGAATCAGTAGCCATCGCACCAGAGCTGAAGCGCCGATTGCATAAATTGGACAAGGTAACACGATTTCGTCGAGGAAACGATCTAATCGAAGGGAAACAAAGGCGAATGTCGAGAAATCGAACGAATCGACCAACAAAGTAGTTGAATCGAAAAAGAAAGTAGTGAGGCAGGAATAGGAAAGGATCGAGAAGACTCGAACAATTGAAGAGAAAGTGAGGATTTCTGGGAATGAATCAAGAACAAAAATCTATGTTCTCTGATTCCATGTCGAGCGCCTGAGATGGATTAGTGGCGGAGGACGACGTTGCCAGTTGCTAGGCATGGGAAACAAATCGTCGCCTGACACCAGAAAAGTATTGACGGTGGCAGAGGGGAAAAGAAACGGCGAACAGGAGGGTTAAGTGAGGGAATTAATTGAAATTATTATAAATTATTTTAATAAATATAATATAGTTTATTTGATAATAATTAATTATAAATCAATGAAATTACAGTAACCATTTGATATATCTAACAATTAAGATCAAACAACAAAGTGAGTGCGTTCAGTGCATCCAAAAAAGTAGTTGCACCAAAGACGCCAACAATATATATATGCGTACCCTAGCCTACCGTACGACCGTTGAGTTTTGCTATTTAGACAATGAATTAACCGGAGTCTGGGGGCATAATACTATACCCTAACCCCTAATGGGTGAACCCCAATTCCCAATTAATTAACCCAAAACATAATATTCATTTATTCTTGAAATGAAAATCAACGGTTCTAATATGTCGAAATTATTGTTGATTTTCATTTTAAGATTAAACGAATCTCATGATTTGGGTTAGAAAACTAGGGACTGGGGATTGCCTGGTGTACGACATACACTAGGTTTTGTCGTTGAGATGGATGTGAATGGTGGAGATTGCCTAGTGTACGACATACACTAGATTTTGTCCGGTGTACGATAAACCCATCCATATATATGTTGGCGTCTTCGGTGCACCCACTTTTTTGGGTACACTCAGTGCACCCGCCTCATAATTGTCATTCTGAGCATGCGATTCATCTCAAAACTGTATTAATTGTTATTTATGATATTATAAACAAGAAGGACATGAATTTGAAAAAAAATCATTCAAAATTTACGTTAATTCGAAGGATTTAGGAATTTAGGGTTAGGGTTTAGGTTTACAATTTGGGATTTTTGATTGGGATTCAAAATGAAGGTTAAGGGGTTAGGGTTATAGATTGATTTGTTATGATTCTATGTCATATCATCATATTAGACTGAGATTACTAATTAAAATTCTAAATTTGATGTGTTATGGACACTTTTAGAGTGGGATTTTTCCAGAAATAGCACATTTAAAAAAAATTACAAAAATAGCACCCAGCCGAAAATATTTACAAAAATAACACCCTTTTTTTATGGACCGCACCTCTAAGGTGCGGTCCATAATCGTGGACCAAAACCGCATCTTAACCATGCGGTTTCAGGTCTGACCTACAAAAACCGCATGGCCGAGGTGTGGTTTTGGTCTGACCTAGCAAAACCGCACCTTGGAGATGCGGTTTGTATCTCCAAAACAAAACCGCATCCCCAAGGTGTGGTTGTGCCACACAAACCGCACCCCAAGGTGCGGTTTTGGTCAATTATTTTCCGACATGCCAGGCAAAATAACAGACGTGGGATAATATCAAGTTAACACGAAAAAAATGGACAAGCCAATTACAAGTTAAACGAATTGGGATAATATCAAGATAAGAGGAATAGTTCCAAGTACATAGAAATAAAAACAAATTGAAACAACACTCAATTAAATAAACTAAGATAAGGGGAATAGTTCCAAGTACATATAATTAAAATTCAACTCAAAATACATCTCAAAGAAGTCCACGAGCTTCACCGGAATCTACGGTTTTCTTGCTCCTTGTACGACGGCCGACGAGAGTAACAACAGGTGGTTGCGGTGGCAAGTTTCGAATGGTCGAGGTAGTGTGGCGCTCGTCGGTGCTGTGTCGGCGAGGAGGCGGCGCTTCCGGGTCGAGCGGGGGACATCCGCACTCATACGGTGAGGAGTAGGAGGCCACGGCTGATGAGGGCGAGTCAATGGGTTGACTTTGTGGGGCGCCGTCGTGGAGGAACCATCATGCCAAGTAGCCGATGATGTAAGGGGATCTTGGGGGTGGACCGGGCGGGAATCGTAGTATGTTTGGCAGGGAGATGGAGGGTAGACCGGGCGGGAATCGTAGTATGTTTGCCGGGGAGATGGGGGGTAGACCGGGCGGGAATCGTATGATGGTTGGCGGGGATCGCTGTATGAGATCGGGTTGGGATCATATGGGGATTGATGGAGACTCGGAGGGGATTGATGGTAGGTCGAGCGGGGATCATTGTATGAGCTTGGGTGGGATCGTTGTGGTAGGAGGGGCGGTGCTCATGGGATGAACTCGGGCGGGGATCTTGGGCGGAACTCGGGGTGGCACCATGTGTCACAACCAATGGGGGTGGAACTTTCCACGCCTGATATGGCGTTACGTTGGGCATATCTTTCCTTCTCATGCCTATGAGATAGACACGAGCATATCTTTCCTTCTCATCTTCCGGACTTTCCTCAGTTAGGGGATGACTCTCGTAATGGTCTCTAAAAATACATTTCATATAATTAGCATAATAATATTCTAAATCAATAATAATTTAAAGAGATACATACATATTATCATAAAAAAAACATACTAAATTAATTTACATAAATAAAATTGTAAATGAATAATAATTTAAAGAGAAACATACAAATTCAAATATTTGAAATTAATAAAATTCATTTTGTAACATAAAAATAAATCATATTGGTTGTTTGGTAAATAATGTAATCGTATTGGTTGTTTTAAATAATTTAATCGAATGCATAGCAACACTCATTAGACTCTTAGAACAGATATACATCTTCTTAGACACGCAGTCTTTTTGACAGAAAAAGGGGGGATCCGAGGATCTCTTAATACCCGATTTTCCTCGGGAATGGTAGGATATGATAATCGCTTAAAACCCCATTTCCTATTTATTGGATTAAATTATTGAAAACAACCAACACGATTAAAAATCGAACATAAATTTATTTTATATACCACTAAATACATTAGCAAAATAAAAGAAAGACAAATGATGTAGAATTTTATGTACCGGGTGATCATTCCAAACATCCCTTGACCGATGGTTGGGTTGGTCGTACAAGTCAGTTGAATCCAACGGTCCTTGCTCGAGATAATACCGTTGGGTGTATATATCCACGTCGTCCCCAACCTACGAGAAAATAACAACCATGTTAGTACATAGATTAATTAAAAGCTTATAACAACAACAAAAATTTAACCAGAATAATGAGTACATACCGCTAGAAATTCATCAACATAAACTCCCTCTCCTTGCCACCAATCGCTCATTTTTTTGGGAAATTCAGACAGAGCTTCGGCTCGGCGGGTTTTGAGGAAAAAACCTAAGAAATATTTTCTGATGGCAGATCAGACTTAGCCGCAACCAACATACCACTATTTCCTAGACTTTTGGGAGGGGAGGGGAGGGGAGGGGTTGGAGAGCTAATTCTAGAGAGAGAGGGAAGAATGGGTTGTGGTGTGAAGAAATGAGGGGAGGGGGGGTATTTATAGTTATCAGACCGCACCCTCCAGGGGCGGTCTGGTAATTTTGCCCCAGTCAAAACCGCACCTTGCCGAGGCGGTTTGCGTTCCCCGAAGCTTGACCACACTTTGGAGTTGCGGTCTTCGATCCGTGGCAAGGATCGCTGACCTGGCAAGCGGTCCGCCACTCGATCGCATCTTCATCCTGCGGTCCACAAGGCCGCTGCCCACCAAACACAGACCGCACCTCGAAGGTGCGGTTTCTAGTCTGACGTGGACTAAAAACGCACCTCCAAGGTGCGGTTTATTCATAAAACGCACCTGGAGGGTGCGGTTTACATATAAAACGCACCTGGAGGGTGCAGTTTACATATAAAACGCACCTTGGAGGTGCGGTCTATTAAAAATGGTGCTATTAGTGTAATTTTTTTTGGTTGGGTGCTAGTTTTGTAATTTTTTTTAAAACGTGCTATTATTGGAAAAAGCCCCTTACAGAGTTGGGTGCACTGAAGTGAGTGCGCCGAAGTAGCCACTATATATATATATATATATATATATATATATATATTAGATTTGTAGCCGCGCTTTGCTGCGGCTAGATTCGAGTCTGTAACTTTAGTCAGATTTAATTCGTTGGTTTCATTTATGGGAATTTGGGGGTGTATTAATTGTCCTTTGGATTACTTGTTGTTGATTTTATTTTTTAATACTTAATTTTGTTTGAAATTTTGTAAAATTGGATCAAAATTTTATAAATTAACAAATTGTATGAGTTTTTAAAATGATAAATAGGTTTTGATCAAGTCTTTAATTGGCCGTCAATGCTACTGTCCACCGTTTTCACTGTAAAATTGTATTGGTACTTGTTGATGTGGATGTCACATATTATTACCAACGGTTAGTAGAAATTAGTTTAATGCCCAATACATGTACTAAATGATTTTATAAATTTTACGCTCGCAATACTATTGAGTCATCTCTTTTAATTATCATTTATATAATGTTTCACATACTAAACAAATATTAAACATCTAATACACTTATTCTATGGTTGAATTGATAATTCAATAGTTTTATATTTATATTCACTTGTACATTATGAATTTTATAACATATTAATTTCCATAAATATATTGTTGTATTAAAATGACACACAAAATACTTCGTACATATCATTATCAAAGCGTACTGGTATTATATTTTAAAAACATTGCGTTCACATCACCCAATATGATGTTCTTTTGATATTTATAATTATTAATTTAAATAAATGCAATAAATAATTTTTTTTATGTAAAAACCCCATAGAAGATCAAAATGGTCAAATCTTCTCTTACAATTAAATGATAATACGATGAAATGTTGATTAAGTACGTTTAATGTACCTATATC